ACGTCGCATCTTCTGTGTGCACAGCCACACAGACCCAGTAATACGTGCATGGCTTCCTGGTGCCCAGTCCCTGTCTATGCTCTTCAAACCATACACCCGAGCTTCTCTCTGGCCTGTGTGTGTCAGCCCTACCCTCTGCGGTGTAGCAGGAGAACCAAGTAGTTCCATTTTGCTGGGTGACCAGAATGCCTCTCTCCTGGGTCATACCAGACCCCAAGATCTAGGCAGTACCTACACCCACGAAAGCTGCATCCTTACAGTAATTGCCCAGAAACGTTTGTTTATGGCTGCAGGCCAAACAAAGGGATGACCTCGGTCGGTCGGGTGAGGCATAGGCAGGATACACCCAGAGAGATAACTCTTAGGAGACAAGTCTCAGCGCTCAGCCTTTGTCTCCTACACCCCCGACAATGGGCTGGGCTGGGCAAGGCAGGACGTCAGGCAGCTTGGGCCTGAGACGAGGGAAATGACCCCGAGCTAAACATTAACTCTATGGCAAACACTGGGAGCTGGGACCAAGTGGTACCCCCTCCCTGGGTATGACACGGGGAGGGAAGGGGTGGAGGAGCCCAGGAAAAAAAACAGATGGATTTTGGAGGAGTCCTGGCCTCACCTGGGAACAATTCAATTAAGACCCTCAAAGGAAATCCCGGCCCTTCAGCCAAGTGCAGGTAGGGAGAAACCAGATGTAGGAGACAGGGGGAGGCAACGAACAGAGAGGAGAGAGATGGGGGCAGGACAGCATCGTGCAGAAAGTCAAGGAGGGGGTAGGACTGGGAGGCGTTCTCATCAGGAGAGACGGGACCATTCTAGAGAAGGTGAAGGGTGGGGGTCGGGGGCAGAGGTCAGGAAGACTCTTGGAGACCACGGGTAAACAGGTACGGACAGACGGGCAGAGCTGAAGGAAGGACAGGTGGCCCCACCTGGAAAGAACAGGCTGCCGAGGCTGTCAGCAGGTCGTCTCTCAGACCCTCCATTTTCTACACTGTCCCCCTAACGTCCCCGGTTTCATGCCCACAGAGCTTTGTTCTCTTGCTCTCAATCTCGTGCCTGCCAGGCCTCCTTGGTCAGTCATTCTGTAGGATCGGCGCAATCGCTTTCCTCGCCACCAAAAAGCCAGCATCCCCGACCAGGGGCATGGGGCAACTTGGGCACTGAGTCTCTCCCAGCCACCAGGGTCTAGGCTCCTGACCTCTGACCTCAGACAAGCTCCTTCCCTGGGTTGTCATGACGACTGACCCCCACGAAAGGGGTGACGCAGAAGAGGACGGTACCTGTGCCCACGCGAGGCACCAGACAGGAGAGCTGTGACTGCTTCCTCCAAGATGCGAGCCGACTGTACCCAGCAGGTGCCATCTTTTGGGGGGCAGACCACACCCCTTCCACCCCCAACTCTGCCCTTGGCTCCCTCCAGAAACTAAAGCCCTGTTTCTGCTCATCCCTCTGGTTCAGGTCTGCCAGGGGCTGTGCCTCCCAGGCTGGGGGCCTTGGTGAACAAAGCTGGTATGGTCAAGTAAGTAGAGGGGGAAGGGTTGAGGGGAAGAAGCGTAGATATAAACAGGCCTGGGAGGGCCTTAGGGCAGTTGTGGATTGCACTGCCTTCATATCCCACTCTTGACCTTCATGTCATATCCCTGGCTAGAGACCAGAAGCCCTCACACCTCAGCCTTTCCACGTGTCTCAGGGCCTAGCCACCTCTTGCCATGGGCCCACTCTTTAGGCCCGGTTGGTCTGCCATCATGCTGACAGGTCTTCCCTGGCTAGACAGTAAAATGCGGAAGGGAGGGAGCTGGGAGTGGGCGGGGAGCTGCACACCCAAGCTACTCCGACAACCTGAGATGTTCTCTCGGTGGTCAGCAGCTCTGCGATGACCGCCCCCCCCCCCCACTCCTGAATCTGACCAGGACACTTGTGACTGTCCCCAGAGCTGGGATTACAGAGCCTTTGCCCATCCCGTCAATGATGGCACATCAGCCACCACCACGAGTGTCAGGGGACAGATTACAAAGAGGGTTGTCAGTAGAGATAAGCAGGGGGGATGGGGCAACACAGTAGGTGTCTTCTGGAAAACCATGAATGGACTATCAGGGGGCAGTGCAGAGGAGGGGAGCGGTTTGAACTGAAGTTTCCTGATGGAGAGCACAGGCACATGCGTGGCGCACAGCAGGGGGGTGTCCGGCCACCCAAGGACGCAGGCACTGGGGGTATGAGGGCACCGCACACCCGTGTGCATCGATCCAGGTGGCTCTGGGGAAACACCCAGGTGGTGCCTTCTTCCTGATGGAGGCAGGGCAACGGTGACTCGGGGAACGGTCACGCTCAAGTCCGTGCTACAGATAATGAGCACACTGGTACCATCGGAGCGGGCAGAGACGGGGTGGGGGGAGGGGGGGCAGGGGATGACACCTGCTGTGTGGAACAGGCAGCATCCGGCTTCCCCCACAGACACCCAGAAGTGGGCCAGGCACCAGCCTCGGCCTCAGAAGGAAATCAGGGTTTTCACCCCAGGTTATCTGAAGCCAGCCTTTCCAGGGCTCTACCCACTATGCTAGCCGCTGATCTCCCTCCTGATGTAAAAACACACGGAGGCAAAGTGGAAAGGTCACCTAGATACAGCTCCCCACACCTCTGGCTCGGGCCGGCTGGAGGTCCCTCATCACCTCTCCGCGTCCAAGCCTTTGCTCGGCTCTGCCTCGTCCTCCCAGCGTCCACCTAGCCCTTCTCTGTCCTTCTGACACATCATCCCATTCTGTGGCCTGTCCCTGCCCCGTGTCAGACCTCCACAGAGGAAGCCGGGGAGGAAGGCAGACAAGGAACCGCATCTGCCTGGCAATGCTGGATCAGGGGGGAGAGGAAAGGCGAGCCATAGGAAAACATTTGTGGAGGGGCCTCGTGGGGTCTGGAAGAAGCCCCAGAGTGGAAGCACGCGCCCAGGAGAGCGGTCATCGGGAGGAACGCTAAATGCTGCTCCGCAAAGAGTCCCCCTGTGCACTTGGCCTCTGTGAGCTAATGACTCGTGCCAAGGGGAGAGTCGATAGATAATGTTTCTGGGATTCATGCGGGGTGAGGGGTGGAGGCCGGAGGAGACACGGGCCGTCTGTGAGTCCCAGGAAGGCCCGGGAGACGAGATGGAGTGGATGCCCGTTTCAGAGGGAGACGTGCGGTCAGCGAGGGTCTCCAGCCGCAGGGCATCGGTCAGGAAGCAGGGCTCTGGCGGCCCGGCTCCTCTACCATCTCCCACTTATCTGTTGCCAGAACGCCTGAGTTCTGGGCCTCACATGGTGGCTGGCCTTTCCAGCCGGCCTGCGAGAGGCAGCGTCCCCTTCCGTCCTTCCCTCAGCCACCAGCAGTGACGTGCGGGGCCGGGGGAGGCGCCGAGGGGAGAGTGTGGGGAACCTGCCGGTGGCAGACAGGAAGGGAGAGCCGGCCAGAGAATGGGAGTCCGAGGGGAGAGCGAGGAGGAGCCAGATGGAAGAGCCAAGGCGAGGAAAAGTGAGGTGGAACAGAGAAGCCTGACTGAAAGAGAATGAGAGCGAGAGGGACAGAGAGAGAAGAGGCGAGGGTGGGGGCCGGCAACCAAGACGGGGACTTGCATGTCCAGATTTGGAAGTTTCGATGGTCTGGCACGTCTGCAGCCACCTGCTTCCCGTTCCTTTCGGGGATGCGACTTTTTGGGGCGGAGGTTTCGTCAGGCAAGGGGCGCTGGAGCCCCTGCACAGCTCGCAGGAAAGCGGCCCCCACCCTCCTCCCTCACAGAAGCGGCGTCTCTCTCTTCCAGGAGGTGAGCTCTAAGCAGCGCCGGGGTGGGTCCACAGGGAAGGGCTTGGGAATGAGAGGGGACGGGCTGGCTTTTCCCTGACACAGGCCGCCTCAGTCAGCGAGGCCCCCCAACCTCTGCCTTGTCTGTGCCAGGCTAGAGGGGCACAGCTCCCCACGGAGCAGCAAGAGGTACCTGACCTGGGGGAGCCACTGAGCCCTGTGGGAACACAGCCCGCACGTACACAACAAGCGATCCTGACCCAAGTCCCTACGTGAAACCCAAGCCTCCCCACTCCCACCCCACCCCCGTGTCTACAAGTTCTGTCACTCACAGCCACCTTCTCCCACACTTGTTGCCCGCCCCCTGAAGCCTGCTGAGGCCCAGCCCGATGCTGGGGAAGGTGGTACCTGCATGATCAATCAGACTCGAGTGTGGGGAACAGCAGACTCGGAGCAGGAAAGACAGCTGACCTGAGGCCAGGCTCTCCACTATGCAGTTCCAGAGGGCAGAGTACAATTTGGTGGCAGGGGCCAGCTGAGAGACTCCAACCGGCTGCTCTCCAGGGGAAAAAGTTCAAACCGCTGCAGCCCAGTCTATGCGATGGGGGCTGGGGTCTTGGAAGGGACTGTTTACCCCACAAAACAGTTTCTGGGTCTGCAGCAGCTGGCTGAGCCACCGCCGTGGACGACATCAGGCTACGCCTCCATCACAGACCCAGGAGCAGCGGGCGTCTTCTAGAAGGAAGATGCCCCTCGGGACTACTGAGGTGTGCCTTGAGGCAGAAGTCAAATTCTCCTAGATGGGACAGCCTCTCTACTTAACGGGGGAAAGTTTTCTGGCTGCACTGCCCCCAAAATGTCTTGGCTGAAGGAAGGAAACCTTGCCCCTGAGTTCAGGCCCCGGGGCTGTCCGAGTCCCAGAATTCTGTCTGGTCTCTGGATGCCTCCCCCAGCTGGGCCCCTCCACTGGGGCTGGAAGAGCCCCGTCCAGGAGTCTAGGGGAGGGCCATCCTTCCCAGGTCTCTCTGAATCAAATCCTCCCTCACCAGCAGTCCTGTCCTCCTGCACAGGAAAAACAGTCTATCTGGTGTTTCAGGGAGGGGGCTGGTCAGGGGCCCCTGAGCTTGCTCAAGCCCACGGGGCGGCCAAACCTCTCCTCGCCACCTCTCCGTTCCCCAACCACCTCCATCCACCACCCGCTTCCCACGTGCCCAGACGAGAAGAGAAACAGGGATACTTACATTATACCAACTCTGGCTTTTCTGAAAGGACAAAATAAGAGAAAGTACAATTAGTCTGGGAAGAGATGGTGGGAATGGCCAGGGTATTCCTGGCTCCAGAGGGAAGGTTACACAGACAGCAGAGGGCGGGCAGGGAGGAGGAATCCAAATGCAGCCGGATGCTTCCCATGTGGCTGCTCGAGAGGGGTCCTCCTTTCTCAAGACAGCTCCAGAAAGGAGGCCCAGGGAGCAGTCCATGCTGGAAACCTCACCGAGGTCGGGGCGGCAGGCAGCGGCAGCACCAGCCAGAGCTCAGCTGGAAGGGAGTCGGAGCCCCATCATGAGGTTTTTCTGATGGGGGTGAGGGGTGCGCTGCAGGCATCCGAGACCCAGTCCCCAAATGGGCCCTGACCAGAAGCAAAGTGCAGAGAGAGACCAACCCAGCCTTCCGCTCCAAGTCAGCCCCTCTGCAGAAGGCAAGATGGGACCTTCGGGTAAAGGAAGAAAAGGGGCTGCCTGGAAACTTCCTCCAACTACGCTCTCGGCGAGCAGAGGCGTGAATTCCTCCTTCTGCTCAATAGCTGGCTGATGACCCAGGTGGCAAAGGGGTCCTGGGGAGGTTCTGCGCTGAGAGGAGAGTTGAAGCACATGATTGCTGGTTGTCCCTCCCCACTCTGTGCTGCTGTAACTCGGTTCCCAACAAAATCAAGACTCCGTCCCAGCTCCAGACTTCAGGAGCTGGTTCATTTCCTGCCCTGGGCAAAGGTTACTCGTTTTCATGGCAACCGAAAGTTCTTTAGAGCAAGAGGGATGGCTAACATTGTGCTTTGTCTACCTCCAGTCTCTAATCCCACCTGAAAGCTAGACAGGTGGACAGGAACATGCACGCATACCTGCCTGGGCCCCAAAACCGCGAGGTGCTGATCCAATGGTTTTAGATTGGGGATGGGGTATTTCAGGTTGTAAAAAACTTGTCAAGGGTGTAATTCCAGCCAAGAATCACTGCATCAGGGAAACTGCTGGTCAACAGCTGTACACCCAGGTGTGGATCCTGGGCACAAGTGGCAACTTTTGCCCTCCCACCTCGTTGAAGGGGCCCCGACTCATAAGGGGAGGAAAAGGCAGCCACTGTCTCAGAATGTCCACCGGGAGCAGGTCTGGCTGGGAGGAGGGTGGTCATGTGACCACCACCCCCCTCCTCACCAGCTCCCCCGTTCCACCAGAACTCTTTAGATGCTCTCTGTAGTCATTTCCCAACAAAGGCTATCACTATGGCCCATCTGGAAGCCACACACTCGAACCACGGCCTTACCTTCTCCTCTATTCCAGAGGTCTTAGCAGGTAAAGGGGCCAAATCTGAATATTTAAAACCAACTATTGCACTGTTGAGGGAGCTGTTGCCCCATGGGAATCCTGGACCTCAATCTGAACATGAGCCTGTAAACATTTGGCGAGAGCCACCCATTTCTGGAGGCGAGTGAATGGGGCAAAGAGGCTGTGTCTGACCTTACTTGTACCTTGTGAGGTCTTCATTCCTGGGTCCTGTCTCTGAGATCACAGGGCATGGCATTTCACCAAACCGAAGCCGGGCCCTCAGATACCTGCTTCACAGCTGAGAGAACTCTCCGTCACCCGCCCCCTAGCTTCTCACCCCACTGTCCTGGCCTTCGTGTTAGACCCTGGGAGAAAAGGGGACAGCAGGAATGAAATCGGGCTGGGTGTGGGGGACCCAAGATCCTTCATGATTACTCTTACGTGCTGTTCCCACTCCTGCCTTAGGTATTCCTGTACTGCCACACAGATAGATGTCCCTTTGGAATCCGTTCAGAGTGACAAAGAGCCTCACCCAGGGAACCGGTGTCCCATTTCTGTGTGATACTTTTGTGTAATACTTGCTCGTTCATAAAGGGGCGGAGGGGATAACAATCTGTGTTCCCAAGTACTGAAATGTGTGAAATGAACCAGCCAGAGCGAGGGCTTCTGTCCTGTCCTTCAGCATGACACTCTACCCTCATCAGCCATCTCCAGGCAGCTTCTCATCTGTCACCGCTAAGAAAAATGCCCCCCACCCCATCCCCCTGTCAAACCCATAGTAGCTCCTAGGAATACCCACTGCGGGCACGAGTCCCTCAACTCTGACCAGCCTCCTGGAGGCAAATTTCATCCTCTGGCTTCACTCTCCCAGGGCTGAGTCCCCAGCTCACGGGGGCAGGGAAACCAGAGGGGCCGCGGACCTGGGAAGGGAGGAGGGAGCGAGAGCAGAGGCGTCCAGGGACACAAGTTAGGGTGTCTGCTATTGCCGCTTCTCTAAAATGCCCCTCCTTCGCAGAGAGGGCCAGAGGCATGGAAAAAACAGAACTAGGGGGTGGGGGTCAAGGCTTCTCTGACAGGTTATGAATGGATTCGGCTAAAAGGGGAGGGGGGGAGTCAGGAAAAGTACTCAGAGCTGCCCAGGACAGGGAACTGAGCAGAGGACGGTTCCACTGCCTCCTAGAAGGGGTCTAAAGAACAAGCACTAAAGGAATACGAGGCCTCTGGAAACAGACCCACCTTCCCTAGAGACATCTCCCCAGTGCAAAGGCTCCTGGGGTCGGGAAGGTGGGGGCTGGGGGGCCAGAGGAGGGGAAGAGAGGAGCTCTGCTTATAGGAGGTGCGAAATAAAAGAGACTTCTTACTTTGATCAGGTTAAGTCTGTCATACTGGAAAGAAAAAACCACAAAAATTAGGGTTGGAAAACAAGGAGAAAGGTCAAGGGGAAAAGCTGCAGCGAAGCCACGGGCCGGGTGACAGAGCACACCCAACGCAGGAGGACTCCCCTACTGGGGTCATCGCAGCGGCTGTCCTAGAGCACGAGCTGGCGGGAGCGGGGGAACGGCCGCTGGCTCCCCTTAGTGGCCGCAAGCCGGTACTACAGAGCAGAAGCTGGGTGGCCGCACAAACTCCAGGGGTCTGGGGAAGAGGAAGGAAAGGACGCCTTGACATCTTCTAGCTCGCTGCTCTGGGCGGGGCTGCACCCAGAATGGTCAGCCTCAGCAGTACAGTTACACACTCACAGGAGAGGGGCCTTACGGATCACCTGGTCTGACCCCTCCATATTAATACCAGGAAATGGAGGCCCTGAGAAGGCAAGGCAGACACCGCCCATGCCTGGCTTCAGGGAGAAGTGGAAGTACTTTCCAGGCGGCCTGGAAAATATACGAGGTCATCTCCTCTAGGAGGTGGATGGGAGACGGGGTGAGGTGGCCTGGTGGCCATAATAGCAACAATAGCTCTGGCGACCAGAGCCCTTTGCCACGGATACGTCTGGTCAACCTGAGACCACGTTCCAACCGGGGGAGGGGGTATCCTAACCACAGGAGCACGCTCTCCACCTCTCCTCACCTCACCTCTGCAGCTCTCCCTCGCTTTCCGCTCCAGGCCCCTGACCTGTGTAGCACCTAATTCCTGAAGTCTGTGTGTCCCTCACACACACTGGTTTCCCAGACCGACCTCAGCTGCCACCATTTCCCGCTGAGCTGGCAAGGCACCCCCGTCACCCACAAGTCAGTCCTGTTCTAATGGCGTTTGGAGGATGGTGGTGGCAGTGGTGACAGCTGTGACTGGTGGGAGAATGGGGCCGAGGGGAGGCATCCACCCAAACCAGGGACTCGAGGACTATGTGTCTGCCTCACCGAAGCCCATCAAAGGGAAAGAAAACCTAGACACCACCCCCCCCCCTTTCCCAGCACCTCCCTCTTCAGCTCATGAGAGGGGGACCAAGGCTAACTTTGCATTCAGCTCTTGGTCCCTTCACAACGCCTCATTCTGACTCTCAGAGTCCCAGCCTGGCTCAGCAGACCAGTTCCATGAAACACGCCCGTCACCCCACTCATTTATGAGTCCTCCAGCCTCTGACGTGTAACATCCGCAACTACACACGAGCCTCTACGAGTCGGGTCTGGCTTCCGGACAATCTAGGCACGTTTCTTAAGGTTTCTTATTTCCCTTCCTAGCCTGTAGGCTGCCGGGGGGCAGGCACGGGCCCGTTACTCGTTTCCCGAGGAAGACCTACCATTTAGGAGATTTTTTAAAAATCCTCCTTACGGACTACTCGCCTCAACCCAGCACCCGACTAAAAGAGGCTCCTCTGTGGGTGGTGGCTGACAGCCATCAGTAACGTGCTCACCGAGCGCCCTGCTGGCATAGGGGTGAGAGGAGACGAAGCCCGCAGCTTCGGCTCAGACACAGCCAGAGAGACAGCATAACCCGATGCCTGGCTCTAGCGACACGTGTCCTCTCGCCAGCCAGAGCTGTGAGGGGCTGGGAGCGGGTGCTGACCCCACGGAGCACTCCTCACTCCCCACAGGTAGAGCTCCTCCTTCCCTGCCCACAGCGAGCAACCACCATGTGAAGCCTTCAGAGCCAAGATGTGCTTTGAGCCTGAAGGGTCACAGACTCTGGGCTCAGCCCCGTAGTCTCTTGCTCTTCCCTCAGGAATGAGAACAGCTGTTCGCCCTCCTCCTCCCCAAGACACTTACAGAGGCTCAAGACTATTATTAAGTCATCCCTCTCTTTTTCTTCTCCAGGCGACATCCCACCTCCTTTTCCCCTGTGGGGGTTATTTCCTGAGCCCTGCCGTTCTAAAATACCTACTGCTCACGCTGGACTCCCTCCAAGTTCTCTTCGGACCTCTGAGATCCTGGGGGCCAGGGCAGACTCTGGAACTGCCCCCTGACCTCGTCGCATTTCTACAGGGCCTGGCAGGGGCTACTATCGATGTCCATCGACCTCCAGATCCTGGTACCACGCCCTTCTGGAAGAATAGCTCCGATCTGATCACACTTCAGGATCCCAAGAATACCACAAGCCCCCGGGCTGGGCAGTGGGTGGAAGCCGTGAGGGATGCCCAGGCTGAGCAGCTGTCAGTGGGCAGGCAGAGGGAAGAAGGTGCCAGGTAGAGCTCCTGAGGTCACTTTCCCACACCGGGGAACTCACCTATGGGAATCTGTGACCCTCAATCACTCGTCCGGGGACTCTGGTCTCACCCACTAAAGCAGGTGTAAGCGGGTATATCAGGACCCAAAGCCCAGCTGGATGGGGCTTCCCTTCCCCCAGAGCAATGAAACTAAGCCCCGGCAGGACTCTGCTTCTAGATGGCTCCATGTAAGGAGGGAACAGATTCCCAACCCAAGGCGGTATTTGGGGAGCAGGCAGAGACAGGGGAGGATGGGGGACGGGTCTGTTCTCCGACTTTGGGTGCAATAGGAATGGTCCCTCTGTAACTTCAAGCCAGCCTGCCAGGGGGCAGTGGGGCCGGCCCTTCTGGGAAAGGGACCAAGCAAGACATGGGCCAGAGTGGGCGGGGGCAGAGGGAGGGGTGCGGAGCGCTACAGACAATTCAACACCGGAGGGGAGACCAAAGACAGAGACAAAAGATGGCTTACTTTTGAGAGGCGCTTGTGAGACTAAGACCATGCATGCAAAGGAGGTATTTGGGAAATGGTGGGGAAGAAGAGGAAGAACAAGAAAATCAAAAGACAAATCAGGTGGGAAGCCAGCTCCCGTGCCTCCCAGGGGCCCCTTCCCCTCCCCGGGGCCTAGGAGTCCAGCAGTAAAGAGAAGCTTTCTGAAGGAGCATCTAGGCAAAGACCACCTCCTGCTTCCCAAAGGACTGAGGAGGGGACAAGAAAATCTCTGGGGACCCATAAGTAGTCCGGGCCCCCCTGGGGCTCATTTTATGCCTTTCCTTAGGCAAAGGCCCAGGCCCTCGGCAGGTGGCACTGACACTTGCAGGGGATGGAGAGGCCCTGTCACCGTCCTCCTGGCCAAATGAGTACCAAGTGGGTTATTACCAAAGGTGAGGCAGAGTGATAGCCAGGGCGGAGGTTAAAAACCCCTTTCTTCCCTGAGGACTCTCTCTTCCCGGCACTGCGCTCCTCCCAGATAATGCTCCCCTCTACCCCGAATTTGAAAAAGGGAAGCAGGACTAAACGGATGACCCCCTCCTGGTCCCCAGAGCACCCTTTCTCCAAATCTCAAGGCACGTGAGGCTCCCTACCCCAAAGGGAGACAACAGTCACCGCGGAACCATTTAACTAGTGCTTGGGGCACTCTGAGTGCTCCGCTGAGAAGATAAACTAGGGTCTCCCCTGCCTGTCCTACCCTCGCCTCACTGACACAAGGGCCCTCGAGGAAGGGGTTGTCTACCTCGCTGACCCCCAACACTGGCTTCCCCGCAGCCAGCTGACGAGCAAGTACAGAGTCCCGGCAGCGCCCGACTCACCTTGGAATTTTTGCCGCCACTCCGGCCGGACTGCGAGGAGCAGCTGCGCTGGACGCCCTGCTCCGGCGTGGACGGGGACTTGTCCGAGGAGTGGTCTGAGCCCTTCTCCACCATGGTGTCTCCGTCCGGGCTCTGCGGGGTTGGCGAGCGAGACCGTTTCCGGAGGATGGGGGAGCAGGCCGGCGTGCTGCGGTTTGAGTTACTGGCAGTGCTGCAGGGGCAGATGGAGAGAGGGAGTGGGGTGGAAAGGGGGGAGGAGGAGGAAAGACAGGCAGTCAGTGATTGAAGGCCAAAGACGGGTCCCAAGGAGCCAGCTCAGGGAGCCAGGGTCAGGGGCTGGGGAGAAACAGGGAGAAAAGGGCCCAGCTATGAACTCACTGCACCGTAATACTGCTGCTGGCCAGGAGGGGGCGGTGGTGCCGATGTGAAATGGAAGCAATGTGAAATGACATAGAAGGGGCAAGTAGGGCAGTTAGACATTTAGATATTCATCCATCCATCCGACCATCTGTCTGTCCATCCATCCAAATATCGTTCGAGCCCCTATTACATGCCAAGAACTGTCTAGGGAAAACAGAATTTAAGAGCTGAAAGGCTCATTACAGATCATCCAATAGCACGAGCTCCTTTTATGCACACTGCATAACTAGTTCCGACATTTTGTTTTGCAGATATGTGCCCATAAAAATAGTTAAGAATAATCCTACTTTCAAAGCAGTCACATGCATATTATTTCACTAAGGCATTATTTCTTAAGGCATTCCTAACGGCAAGTGCCATAATCCCTATTTTTAAGGTCTTCTGACTTGCAACTCAAGCACAGCACAGTATTTCCTTGTAAGCCATGTTACTCTCTGCTTTCCCTGCCCAGGGGAAAGATGAACACAGCAGAAGTTGTCACATTCCATAGTCCCCTCCACCCAAATTCGTCTCCAACAGGCACCGTATACATCCCACAGTACCAAATCCACCCACGCCAAGGCTTACAGGCTGTAATTATTTACTATTGGACACTTAGCTTGTGCTCTTGATGGAACAGGATAGGCGTAAAGAACGAGGGGAGGGGAAATGAAGTTAAGTTCTAACAAGTGTTTGCTTTGCCCTGAGAGAATGGAAGGACAAACATGGAAAAGGACATGGTTAAGTGGGAAAGAGACAGGGGGAATGGGAAGGGAAGCATGGACGAAACTGCAAAGGCAAAGAAAGAAGCACAAGGGTAGGGGGATGAGAAGCCGAGGGCCCCCTCACCCACTTCGGTCAGAGAGCAGGGTCAGGCTTCAGGGACAGCCCAGATCTGAGGCTGTGAGGGCCCCTCCATCCCAGCCTTCCCTAAGTGAGTGGCACGCAGGGTAGGGAACACTGTCATTTGCATGAAGATCCAGCTGTGACCTCAGATGCCCCATCGGACCCATTTGCAATGAAAACCATGTCCCTCTCAGCAGAACCTTGCACCTGGGGATCCTCAGCAGAGAAGGAAGGAAGCCCAAAGCCCAAACCAGCAAGTGGGGAAGGAGGGCAGCAGGGGGTGAGTGCAATGCTCTAACTTTTGAAGGAAACTGATGAAAAGAAGAAAAAAAGGAGGCCAGACAGAGAAAAGGAAGACAAATGTGACCAGAGGACGTATGGAGACACGTTAAGACCCAGTGTTTTGCTTCCTCCTAAAACAGAATTCAGACAGATATTGCTTACAAAACTAATGATAACTGTGATTTTGAAAAAGAAGCTCTTGGAGCACCTGGATGGCTCAGTCGGTTGAGCGTCTGACTCTTGATTTTGGCTCAGGTCCTGATCCCAGGGTTGTGGGCTCAAGCCCCACATCAGGCTGCAGGCTCAGTGTGGAGCCTGCTTAAGATTCTCTCTTTTTCCCTCTGCCCCTCTCCCTCTCTCATTCTCTCTAAGATAAATTAAAAAAAGAAGTATTTCTTCAAGTTCTCACTCTGCCATTTTATCCTCTGACCACCGCCCCCCCCCCCCAACTCTTTCACTACTGCACATCGAGGAGAGGGGAAACTATGTTCCTTTTCTTCACTTGGAAAAGCAGAGTCTTGGAATGGTGGTGAGGAGATTCTCGGGATATGGTCTCTGGGGGGAAGCCTCTGAAAGCTCCTGAAGGGTAAACTCGGGTGCTCATCGTTCTGGGGTAGCTGCCTCTCACTCAGGCCAACTTCAACCCACAGCCAAGTACTCCAAGGAGTAAACTGTCTTCTAGGATTACTTTGCTGGAAGAACGGTCAGGAACTCCACCCCTAACCTCAACTAATTTGCTCACAGACATACCAGAGTGTGGACGATGCCTAGCACACGTCCATCTCAGTCACGACAGCTCGGCTCCTGTCTTTCCCTTCAATCAGGGACATCTTGACACATGGCGAGTCCAGGTGCGAGAATGGAAAGGAGGTCTCCTTATCCTTCTCCAAACTCTCCATCCCCACTGGTAACAGGCTGTTGAGGAGGGCTTCATTCAGCAAGGGCTGGGCACAAAATTCTAACCTGGAGGAAACTCACTCCAACTACCCAAAACCACATGAATCTCCCACTCAGTGATCAAAATGCCCATGAGATTCCCTCAACCACTGAGTGGCCCCATATCAGCTGACCTGACTGACACGTGCCACCCAATGGATACCTAAATTCCTACTTTCAACACATCCATAAGCTTATCCTGTCATTTGTCGTGTTAGTCTCTGTGCTTTGAAGGCCACTGATGATCCGTGTTGTTCCTGAAGCGCTCTTCTCCGCTCCGTGATGCCACACAACTCTTTCTATTCCTCTTCTGGCCTCAAACGCTGGTTTCTCTCTTGCTGACTCCGCCTGAAGTCTGGTCCTTCCCCACGGCCCGGACCATCTCCTGCATAACTTCAACTGTACCTTGCAGCAGAAGACTCACTCCCCTGTCTGTTTCTGGCTCCGATCGCACTTGCTCCCTTCAGCTCAACAGTCTGCGGCCGAGTGGACAACCCCTCCAAAGAGAGGTCTCAGTTCAGACTGAGAACCGAGCTCACCATCCTTCCTCCCGAAACTCCTCCCACTAACACCCCTCGTCAGCGGCATTACCATTCCTCATCTCCCAGCCTGCAAATCCAGGTCTTCTGTGTCACTCCGCAAAAAGTGAGTCACCGGCTCACATCGATTCTATCTGCGGAAAGCTTCTTAACCCATCCTTCCTTCCCTCCCCTCCCCCACCCAGGGTCTCTTGCCTAGATGGTTCCACTAGTCGTTTAAGTGGTCTCTTTCATCTCCTTTCCCTGTCTCGTGCTCATTCCCATCTCTGCCTTTCGATCTATTTTTAAAATTTAATTAATTAATTAATTTAAATTATTTATTTTTGAGAAAAAGAGACAGGGACAGAGTGTAAGCAGGGCAAGGGCAGAAAGAGAGGGAGAGACAGAATCTGAAGCAGGCTCCAGGTTCAAGCTGTCAGCACAGAGCCCAACAAGAGAGATCATGACCTGAGCCAAAGTCGGACACTTAACTAACTGAGTCACCCAGG